CTTGTCTCACGGTTTATGAGCGCCAATTCATCTTCTCTTGAACGGAAGGCATAATTACAAGACATTTTGCATTGAGACAACTTATTTCATGATGAAAGCAGAAACTTCATCTAACCTGATTAAGACATCAGTTGCAACTGAAGTGGTTTATCAAAATTAAGATACAATCCAAAATCAAATCAGATGAAGCTCTATCAACGAAGAGCAATACAATTATTAACAGATCTCATCTTTTCTGCTGGTAAAATGAAAGCCTTTCTAAAATCGTATCATTTTAAAATGGTCATTGATGCAAATATTGCAGCTAAGTAGTCTATACAATTTTTCAATACAGGTGAATATGACTATAGAAATAAAGCAAGTTTTCAGGATACAGGGAAAAAAAGAGGTCTGCAGAGAAATTAAAGTTCTTTATATTTTTGTTTTAGCTTTCTTTTTTTAAAGGCATGAATTGAGCAGATGCTTGCAAAAATACCCTCAAAATCTAAAGTAAAAATTAATTCTAGGGGTTTCTTTTGGTGACATTGGTGCAGCAACAATTCCAATTCCATTGTGCAAAAACACTGACATACTGTGTGTCTAAGGCATCAAACTGCTTAAACTGTGCAATAAAGACCAATGACGACGTTGTACCTAGGAATAAGCATGTGACTGTACATTACTGATTCACATAAAGCATTCTCTTAACGTGCATGGCCAGGCCCCAGATATCTCATCTCAGTTATCAAATGTCCTGTTTCTCCTCTCTGTAAAAAAAATTGTTTTTGCAGCATTATGAAAATACTACTGAAGTATTTTCTTCCAATAAACATCCAATAAAAAACATGTTCTTCACAGATAAGAACAAATTGGGACTACTGCCCCTGGGTAAAATCATGGAATTGTATTATATCACAACAAAAAATAATTGCATCAAACGCTGAAAAAGCCCATCCGGAAGTGCAGTCAGAGAATGCAGAACAACTGCTTTTAACTTGTACAGTACTACAGTGGACCTAAATAAAGTCTAGATAAAGGTATCCTATGCAGCTACTGCTTCTATTGTTGAACATGGAAAAACTCCAGTAGGTGATACACCTGTCTCTCTTGATAAACAGTACAGTCAAAAACGAAACGTTGGAACACATGGATATGGCAGTCAACATCCTTTAGACGTTGTATGGGATTAGTCAGCACTGAAACGTTAACATCCTCGCGTAATCAGAATTAGTACTCTCCATCATGCTGTACTTCAGGAAGAACGTGTAGGGTCCTACAGATACGACTTGATATCAGCCTTAAAATTTTCTCATTAAATTCTCTAAGAGTGAAATCTTCTTGTCCTACCTATTACGACAGAAAGATCATCAAAAAGATAGCTGTTTGAGAATGTTTGGCTACAAGCTTACAGTAACTCCAGTCTTAAGTATTTTCATATGGCATGTGGGCAAAAAACCCTGCTTTTATCCCGTTTATGCTATTGCATATTTCTCACTCAGGAGGGTTTTTCTTTTTCCTTAAGTTGCAA